CCCAAAACCCCAAAACCCCAAAACCCCAAAACCCCAAATGATCGATAAATTATTGGCTAAGAAAAATAAATATAAAATGAAATCAAGTTGTTTTAAATTATGAGTACTCCTTGTTGTGTTGCTGCTGCTGGGACAGTCCATGGCGAAGAGTAGTAGCGGTCGTGGGTATAGTAGGAGATATAGAAGTTCTGGCAATTCAGGTAGCAGATCCTCTGGGCAATGAAAGGGAAATACTACTAAATGTGTTTTGATTCCTATATGCTGAGTTGTTGGATTCTTGTTCTTACTTGGGATGTTTTCTTTATTGATTATTTGCTGTAAAAAAGCAAATAAGAAATATCAAGAGATATTAGAACAGAAAGCAAAAGATAAGAAGTATCAGCAGCAAGAGTTGAAATATAACAAGATAGCCGAGGCATCAAAATTAAATAAATTACAAAAAGATCAAGAAGATCGAGTAAAGAACAATCTTTACATGAACCAGACTAACTACTCTATAAACCATCAACAAAATAATAAGTTTGTAGTTCCTGGAGCTCCGATACAACCAGTGTCTCAAGAAGCGTTTCCTCAACCTGGAATTAACAATTACCAGCCAGTCCCATTGATATATGACCCTGAAGCTTATGGTCTCATATATGACAACAATGAGACAGCCCCTCTACAGCAATTTGCTCCAGACTTACAAATAGGAAGAAATGAAGGCGATACAAAAGAGATAGATCCAAACATAGGGAAGACTAATAAAGTTGCTCCTATATAAAAATTGATGAAACTAACAAGAAATGGAAGGGGTTTTAAAGTTAGAATCAAATAATATCTACTCTGATTTCGATAATAGCCATTTCAGTATATTACTTCAATAAAATGCTCATTTACCTCAATAAATACATAAAAATCCCTTCTCTAATTACTTCCCTCCATATTCCACAACTCCCAAACATACACATAAATTTCTCACTACTAAAAAATCCAAATTTCAAAATTCCAACCACCAACAATCCAATTTTACCTTCCACAATCTCACCATACTACCCCCCTACCCACCCATAACCAATCCCCCATCCCAGGTAACACCCAGTCCTCCTCCCTCACTAGCACTCAGCCCAATTCTCCAGTCACAGTAGCTCACTACTATCATGAGTGGGCTCTAGCACGAATAGCTCAGTCACGGTTAGGTATAATTTTTATATCCCTGAGTCACCCTAAACTCTTATTTCCAAATTCTATTCTTAGCCTTCTTCTCACTCAGGCCAGCTAAGTTCAACTGTCGGCTAGTTCAGGTTCAATTTCTGGAGATCGTACTGTACGGGAATTTGGGAAGAAGCAATAGGAATCTGAAATTTTTTAGGGAGATTTTGGATTTTGAGAAATTGGGGTAACTGATATGCGGGGTTTTGGGGTTTTGGGGTTTTGGGG